GTACGGACTCTGATAAAACCACTTCTTCAGGCAGAGAATTCCACATCCTTATTGTTCTTGCAGTAAAAAAACCCTTTCCTTTGCTTTAGACTAAATCTTCTTTCTTCCAATCTAAATGCATGACCTCGTGTCCTGTGTAAAGTCCGGTTTGTGAATAGATTTCCACACAATTTCCACACAATGGTTTGTATTGGCCCCATATATATTTGTATACTGTTATCATATCCCCTCTCAGGCGACGTTTTTCAAAACTAAAAAGAGGTTTCAATTTGTTAACCTTTCTTCATAGCTAAAATATTCAATTCCTTTTATTAATTTTGTATCCCACCTCTACACTCTTTCTAGTGCCATAATATCCTTCTTTAGAACAGGTGCCCAAAACTGTACAGCATGTTCAAGATGTGGTCTTACCAGCGATTTATAAAAGGCAAAATTATATTCTCATCATGATCTCCCTTCAGATTAGAGGCAGTGCTTTACAACTGGGATTTCATCACCTGGAGGGAAAAAAACAGGCAGGCAATCTCCCAAACTTTTCAAGAACCTCCACCAATTAACCTTTGGCCTTATAAATTGCTTCCTACCCAAGACATCCCCGTTCTTTGCCTGCCTCCGGCAGAGGAGGGTGTCAGGTTCAGGTTTTCTCCCTAGAAGTATGGTGAGAGGGCTGAGGCTCTGGAGGCTCTACTTCTTTTAAATAAACTTTTCAGAGATCAGCCAGGGATAACACACCAGACGGCTGTATCTCCCTGGGTTGTATTAGTTCCGTCTATACCGAGCCAGGTGCCGGGCAGACGATGGTGCGCATTTGGGCACTAGCTGGAAAGTCCTGGCGGTGGAACACTTGTACAGGTTACGTTTATTTCCACCGTGGAATCGCGAAATGCAGGACATGCGTAATGCGATTTAAAATTCAGGTGCCAATGTCTTTATTTTTTTCTCTCCGTGGACAAGATATTGGTTTCCAGGACTTAGAGAGGCTGTTTACCCAGCAGCAACTAACTGTTGCCTGGTGCACTCAGAATCTGTTGCAAGTGTGTTCTCACCAACCTCCAACACACTCTGAGGACATTTAAGGTAAGCCTTTTTGCTTTATCTTAAATGACTCTAGCCTGAATAAGTTAATTATCTGTGCTGCAAAAAAAGCGCAAACGTTTCTAAGTTGGAGAGTTTTTTTAACTTCTCATCACTTAAAGATTATTACTAAGATCTTAAAACAAATAGTGCTTTGAAAGGGTAAGCACTTAGTAGATCGGGCCCAAAATAGATTATTCTTTGAGTAAAGGGTATTAGCATATACTTTTACATAATTCTGTTGGGAAAATTTGTTTCCTTTCTGGCTCAAAATAGCTGCTACTCAGTAATTAGTTAATATGGGTTTCAGTAATCACTAATTGCTGCAACAGGGTCAGCAATTAAAGTGAAGTGTTTGGTGGAATATATTCACAAGAGCAAGACCCGTATGATTATTGGAGGATTATCCTCTATGTTATCCTTAGGAGGCTGATATTTAAAATCTGGTTTTGGTTAAGTTAATATACTGTTGGATTCTTTAAATGCCAGGATCCTAGCCACAGTGTTTATTTTCTTAAACATGCAGTAGGCTTTTGGCAATTGCTGTAGACAAAGCTCTGTTGCAATTAGCATTCTCACCACCTCAACTAGTTTCACCTGATATCAGTTTCTAAAAAGGCAGTCTGTTTTTCAGCTGGGGCAGAACTTTTCCTGTGCTTCACTCCATGGTTGCACATTTTATGTTTTGTCTTAAATTCCAAGTCCTATGTTGTCCGTTACAAAGACAGGTTTGAGCTAACGGACTGTTGGAATGAAAATTTTAAAGAAAATGCTTCCTAATATTGGTTCCTGCAGAGTTTACATCAAACAGGTTTTGGAATGCAGTTGCAGCTATTCTGTCTGCTCTAGCCTCTGTTTCCCAAATACGGCTAAGGAAAGCCTATAGCAGGTAAGGCTGTTGGTTGGTATTGCCATTTTAAAGAATTACTTCTACTATTTATTCCTGCAGAGTCTGCATCAAACAGGTTTTGAAATGCAGTTTGTAGATATTCTTTCTGCTCTAGCCTCTGCTTCTCAATTATGGCTAAGGAAGGCCTGGATCATGGGTATTGTCTTATGCAGACTGTATCTATGTAATCAGTCTCGCTTTGGCCAATAAAGATGGTAACCTGTATGAACTAGTCTCAATGGAAAATTATGTCTTCCTCATGTTACTGGGCTTGAAGCAAGTTCTAGTACAGCTGCAAGCCTATTGATCAAGGTGTAGTTCCACCAGGTTCAATTTGTTCCCTGCACTGAAATAGATACGATATGACTGGGATGGTTTACTGCCTAGGTTTGTCTGCAGTTTTCTTTTAAGAAAATGCTTATGGCAATTGCCACTTGAGATTCTCTCACTATGCAAAATGTTGCCATCCATAAATTTGTTAAATCTCTACAATACTACTTCCTCAGCGGCACCTAATTAATTTTTGTACACCAGCCCCTAAAGGTTAGGGTGTTTCTACAGCATACAGGTGGATGCTAATCAATCTTCTGATAAAGAATTCCCTTTTCAAGAAGTGTGCAGTTCTGGTGTTTATCAAGGAACAGTTCAGGTGTAAATATTTTGACAAGGGTTTTTGACTCTCAGAGAATGGTAATTCCCTGAAGAAAATTTTTTGTGGTTCTCTCTGTCCTTATCACCTGAGACAAGATAGACAAGATACTAGGGAAATAATATTGGTTCCCGTCTTGTAAGAACCTGCTTGGTCTCAGCTTCTTTAGGCATAGCACTGTTTACATGTTCTTCAGTGGCCAGATACAGTTGCTAATAAGATTTTGCAGTAAAATCCTATACTTCGGTCATTCCTTTCTGAACCAGGCACAAATGAAGGATGCCAGACGGTTCTTACTTTTTGTTCTAGTTCTCAAATCGATTGTTCAGATTTTTACGACTGATGCTTTAGGTCTCAGCTAGGTTCTCATAGAGTTGAAGGGAAATTAGCTGAGATAATTTGTAAAAACGTATTCAACTACATAGGACCGAAGGCTATCTCGCTAGCTCTCTTTGCCTTTCAGATAAAGACCCGGTATTATCTTATCCAGATCTGGTCAGATAGTTCTACATCAGTAGCAATTATGTACAAACAAGGTCATCTTGTTTGAAAAATCTTGTTCTAGGATAAGATTATGCATAGAACTTAATATTCCTCTGTTTAGCTGTAGCATTGAGTAGTCAACGTTTACTACAAAGCAGATTGGTTCATACTCCCTGATCTTCACCCAAACAATAGGAAGAATTTGATTATCCAGTTATGGAACTGGGACTTCTAGATCAAACATATAGCATGAAGTGTTTCATTGGACAAGCTTGGACAGACCAGTAAGCTTTGGTTTCCTTTTCTTTCTTGGGAATTCCAGTCTAACCTATAGTTTCCTCCTGGTTCCCTATTCCCCAAGATCCTATAGGATAGAAAAGGTGAGAATGATAGTCTTCCTCCCTCGGTGGCTGGTGTTACCATTCATCAAAAATTATCCGGAGGAATCTTTGGGGACCTTACCTGTAAATGGGTATCCTGGAATTCTCAAGGGTACCGCTTCTCAAATTTGTTGTAATTCAAGCTGATGACCTGGTTTATGTATACCAGATACTGAAGGATAATGTTTTGTCTCAGGAAATTATTGACAATTTATTTTACTATAAATGGATCTTGTTCCAAGATTTATTCCTAGTATGGAAGGTGTTGTTTTTTTAAGATATTGGTTCTTTAAAGTTTGGGAGATTGCCTGCCTGTTTTTTCCCTCCAGGTGATGAAATCCCAGTTGTAAAGCATTGCCTCTAATCTTCTGGAAAAAGAAATTTACGGTAAGTAAAAAAAAAATTGTTTTTCATGCAGGACAATACCTTACTGGCCTTAGCCACTGCTAATTGGCATTGCACATTGTTGCATAATTTGTTGTCTATAACAATTCCCAAGTCCTTCTCGTGTGTGGTTATCTCTAATTTGCTTCCATTAACGGTATAAGTTGCTTGTGTATTCTTGATGCCAAAATGCATAACTTTGCATTTTTCTACATTAAATTTAATCTGCCATTTGAGTGCCCAGTCCCCCAGTCTATCTAAATCCCTCTGCAGCAAAGTAATATCTTGCTCACGTTGTATTACTTTACAGAGTTTTGTGTAATCTGCAAACACTGAAACATGACTTTCAATGCTTTTTTCAAGATCATTTATAAACATGTTAAAGAGAAGGGGTCCCAAAACGGAACCCTGAGGGACATCACTTGTAACCGACATCCAGCTTGAAAATGTACCATTAATGGGACTAATGCAATGATGGGAAACATTTTTGAGTCTGAGTGCCCAAACTGCAACTCTAAACAAACTTATCTTAAAGTACCAACACAGCAATTCAACATGAAAATAGAAGTCAGGTTGTGTGTGTTATGCATATTGCATAGGTTTTTTAATGGAACTGCTTTAATAAAATAAAAAATAGAAAAATGTTTTGACCCCTTACCTGCTTAACCTTCTGTGAGAGGGTTGTTTTTCCTGGTGATTCAATTGGTGTTAATAATAATAAATACCTGGTGATTCAGTGGGATTTAGTAATTGGTCTGGTGTGGTTTATTCATAATGCTCTGGTAGTAAATTGGTGTTAATAATAAATATCTGGTGGTTCAGAGATTTTAATGATTCCCTGGTGCAGACCATTTTAATCACTCCTTCAGGTCTGGCGCTCAGTGAGAAAATCTCAGCACTCTCTAACTGTTTGAACATTGAGGGAGCAATGGTGGTGCTGACCATGTAGGTATAAAAATTGCTTAAAAATATATTTTTCTAAAAAAAAATAAATCAATCATTGTGCATCAAAGTGCCTTTTTTTTAATTATATTACAACATCAATGTTTATTGGGTTTTATGAAAGCAAAGTTAATACATCCGACACTAGCCATTTTCAGTAGTGGTGTTAATGTAAAAAGTCAACCAACCTGCAACAAAACCCAGCGGTAACAAAGATTAAAACAGCACGCCTTTTTTTATGCCTAAAACAAAATATGGCTTAAACTCCTACTGTTCCGAAATTGAAGCAGCTTCGTGCAAGGACAAAATAATATTAAATTGCAACACAAGGACAAGTTGACTTTTTTTCTCATATGATCATTTCTTAGTTTCTTGCTTGCAATCTCCCCCCTCTGGCATCTGAAATATATGCATTACTCAGAGAACATATTGTTTAAAAGCCTTTAATTCATGCCTCTGTGCACAGTGCATAACAATAAGTTTTGTGTTATCATTTCTTACACATCTGATTAAAAATTAAACACGTAGAGGCAAATTTCATAAAGTATAAAAATTTTATTGTGTGTCTTTATTTTCCTAATAAGATTACTATTGGGAAGCATTTTTAGGATGGTCACGTAGCTAATCTCATCTTTTGAGTAACCTAGGAGACTACATCCACACAAATATATTGGTTCTCCAATCTAGAAGGCATTAAGAGTAACAATTTAACATTCCAATTACACATGCATCAAAACAATATAATTTAAAGTGAAACATTTTTTATTTACTAGTATTTCATCAACATCCTTCTTTGGTTTGAAATCATGGTTTTTCAGTCACTTTCCTGAAAAATGTTAAAGGGACACATCAGGCACCTGTTAGGTGCAATATGTAGCTTAGGTTACAGTTAGTTACGCTGGTTGGTTTTTCTTCTTAAATTTTGTTTAGTTAAAAAAATAAATCATAATAATTATTTGTTTTGATCCGTAAGCTCACACTTTTTACCAGTTCCTCCCAGCATGCATTGCTTCCATTTTCGTCCAAAATACTACTGCTACATGTAGTTGTGACAGTTGTTTCTGGGAATTGTAGTTCAGCTTCTAGGTTTTGAACTGCAACTCCCAGAAACCCTTGCTGTGCCCACAACGCACTGATTATGGAACAAGCTACAGAAAGGTGAGTGAGCTATGTCACTTCCAAGTTAGAAGAGAGCTCAATGCAGACACTGGAACACTAATGGTTTTGCCGCAAAAACTGGAGCTTCAAATGTGAGTATCTTCTTCATTATTTTTATTTGTGATTTTTCATTGTTTATACATTATCTGTATACTAAAACAAATACCTTGAAGTGTCTCCTTAAATCTTTTAATGAATCAATGGAACAAACGTGAAATATGGAATAATTTCTCCCATGTGGCCATCTTTAGGACCAAAATCTATTATTATTAACACATATTACAGCAACATTTTCCTCAGCGCTTTACAAATGTACAATAGGGTTATTTAACATGTAATTGACAAATATCATTCAGCACGCACAAGAGGTGAAGACAGCCCTGCTCAAATGAGTTTACGCTCTCAAAGATTCTATCCATTTATCCCTGTTTTTACGAACTCGGTATAAATCGAGTCTTTCACAGAATTCTACAGAAAAAAAATACTTAATATTAAAGAATATTTCAAACTAAAATAAAGTTGTGTTTAAATAAAGGAATACATTATTTTGTTCTGCATCACTCATTTACCTTAGCTCATCACAAAGTCCCTAAAATATTCTTCAGATATTCCCACCCTTTGGCCTAAAAAGTGTTCCTATTTTGCAAGTTTATCCTTGTGAATTGAGTTAAGAACGATCAGCCCTCTGCCAATTCTTTGCTGTTTATTTTTGTATATTAGTTATTTTCTCAAAATGAGTTGGTTGGAGATGACCCACAATAAGGATAGCAAGGTCAAACAATTCTTTGCCAAGCGATCTGCTATTGTCCCACAAGTTCATGGGAGGTTCCATAATGCTTTACTCAAATCCTTTCAACTCATGTCCTGATATCTGAAGGTATAGATCTGTGGGATAGATTCTAGACCGGAGGGTGGGGTCTATTCCTCTTTAAGAAATGTTCTGGCTAAATTATAAGAATTAGATTTTGATTTGATAGAAACTCACTCAAACATAGTAAAGATTTTATACTTGAAGTTGATTTAATATACAAAATGTAAATAGAATATTAGAAATAGTTGCCTTGACAATGCACCCTCTACTAAATTCTTCATAGGCTAGGATTGGGTAGGGAAAAAAAAAGTGGTGTTGGGCACTGGGTATGTTAACGGATGAAAAGTTAAAAGTTTTATTTCAAATGCAAAACCTTTTTTTTTTATTATTATTTTTTTTATATAGTTTACATTACATGCCTCGCATTCCTGGCACGGCCAGGGCATACAATGTAAATTAGTTTAAACCCTGTAGTGTACAGCACAATGTAAGGGGTGCCTGACTGCTTGTATGCCTTTTCTGTAGATGTCAGAGAACGATGGTACCTAGAATGATAACGCCACCCTAAACACAGAAATCTGGCAGAGGTAATTGGATTTTTTTTTATTTTATTTTTTTAACCTTACCTCAATGCACTATTCACCCCAGTAGAAGCTTCAGTGGAGTTTAATGAGTGAGGGAATGAGGAACTGTCACTTTCAGAGATAAGATAGATAGAATTTAATTGCTACATTGTCACTTACAGACTGTAATATCCCAATCACATGCAATATTCAGAAGAAGAAGAAAAAAAAGGCGAATTTAAGAATATCATTTTTAAGACTAATGGAGTTGGTGCATACACAGAGATTATTACAATTTAAAATGTTTAATTAATAATTTAGTTTCGCTTTGAATGTTACAAAAAAATATCGTCACCAGCAGCAGTAGCAGTAAAAAATTTTGTCAATCATTTTCACACACTCACATATTGACCCGACACCGAGCAAGTGATGCCATAAATACAGAGTTGCTCAGTAACTAAATGAGACAAGTGGGGTCTCAAGGAATGGCCAGAATTCTGATCTCAGCCAGTTCCTGGGTTCCGCACAGTAATGTATGATCCCTAGAAAAAAACTGCAAAGAGGGATATGCAGTAGTATAATATTTATTTATTTTTAAATGTTATTTTTAAAACACCTTTTAACCCCTTAAGGACACATGACATGTGTGACATGTCATGATTCCCTTTTATTCCAGAAGTTTGGTCCTTAAGGGGTTAAAGCATGATTTCTATGTTATAAAATAATATAATTTTTTTAACCTTCAGCGTGCAGCTCTCCAGAACATAGCTCAGAGAAAATCTTAAGTTATTTTTTCTTCTAATATTTATGTTGCACATCAAAGCCTCGTCATCAAAGCAAAGCTTGCATAAAAACACAGAATCAAGGGTAAAGAAAAATGATTCCCTGTGTTTACAGTCTCCTGCAGGAACAGAGCCAATATTATATATGTTAATTCCTTTTCTGTCGAATTCAAGCACTAGTGGTAAACTGTCTGAAATAGGCTCTTAAGACAATATAAGTGGGTCAACTTGGAACTACACTTGGGAAGCTGTGAATATTGATTAAGCAGGATGCAAAATATTTATTCTGCAACTATTACAGCAGTATCCGCTCAATACAGATCGACCAGATAACAGAGGGGTAGAAGGTGCAAAATCAATCTTGTAGGTCTGACTTGGTAAACACTAAAACAATTAAGCAAAGTGTTTCTTTCTCATCATGAGAAAAATATACCTTTAGATTGCTAGTATAACAATCACGTCTATTCTTTGGTTAGCTGGAGTCTAGGTCATACGGACATCTTATAAGAGGAAGAAGAAAGCCATGTAAATGTGAAAACATCCCACAGCTCACTAAACTTGGCTGAACTACAAATCCCATGATCTTCAGACACTCTGGATGCGGCAACAGAGGTCCCTGGCAGTTGGTTGGCTGAGAAACATAAGAGGTGTAATTCACAAGCAGTTTGTGATGCTGGTTAGCGCCCCCTGCTGCTAAGTATTCCAGATCTTCCTGATACAGGCATTTATTTAAGTTACCTGGCTACTTTCTATTTGTAAAATGTAACAGACAAAGGGAAGTATTTAAATTCTAATGAACTATGGAAAATCCACAATAAATAGCTACTCTGTTACAGAGTAAGTCTGGAGAAGAATATGCCGCAATGCCAACGAGACACACTCAAGGGGGCACAAACTGTGTCTAGGGCTCTGTTGCGTTATTTACCAACAAGAGAGCCTACAGTTCAGACTAGAACTCTCTACACAGGTGGAAAGTTCTAGGTGTGGAAATATAAGTGTGGGAGATTTTCCATCAGTTCCATTAATTCCTGATTTACATTTAACTTTGCTATTACTTCTGTAGAACTGAATTATGTCAGTGTATTTCTCAAGTGTACACTCAGGATAATTTAACTTAAAGGACCACTATAGTGCCAGGAAAACATACTCGTTTTCCTGGCACTATAGTGCCCTGAGGGTGCCCCCACCCTCAGGGACCCCCTCCCGCCCGGCGCTGGGCTCTCCTCCTCCGATCCTCCCTCTTCTCCTCCCCGTCGGCTGAATGCGCAAGCGCGTAAGTACAGCCGCGCCAGCAAAGATTCAGGTCGGGTCACATAGGAAAAGCATCTATTTCTATGGGATTGCTATGCGTTCCTCACTGTGATTTTCAGTAGCTTCAGCGGGCTGTCAATGAGACAGCCACTAGAAAAGAAGGTTTAACCTTATTTCGAGTAAACATAAAGGTGCTCTCTGAAAACTGCTGAAGTGTTTATGAAAAAATGGGTTAACCCTAGCTGGACCTGGCACCCAGACCACTTCATTAAGCTGAAGTGGTCTGGGTGCCTAGAGTGGTCCTTTAATTTATACACCATGCCACTAAAATCAACGGCAAGTATAAAAATGAAAACATAACTGCCTGGAGTTTTTATGCCTCCACAAACAGCATGTTGCACAAGAGCCACGGCTCCTGATAAAGAGATCTACATCCCACAATTCCTAGCGTGCATGTGCACCGCTACGCGATACCACAGAGTGTTTGTTCTTTATTGCTACGAGTTAGCAAGAAGGTCTCTGAACTGCAGAGAATTGAAATCCACACCCATATGAAAGGTGTTATCATACCTATGAAAGAGATGTAAATTTGGGGGACAGCCTGTAACTGTAAGGCATGATATTTTGGAGCTGTTAGTTTTGTGAGGTTATAAACGGTGCGCAAAATCTGTGATTCTGTACTGCAGTGGCCAGACTGGCTGTACGACCATTTCCAGCCACAGGATAAAAAAAAACGATGAGAAAAACGTTATTACCATTTTGCTCCAAAAAACACACAAGGGATTATTTTCGGGGGATGTCAAGCATGTGCAAGAAAAGAGGTCTATGTTCGGGGGAATTACCTCGAATATAAACTAGTTCACTAGTGCATGGACTCCTGCGAATCTATGTTTGGGGAAAATTCCCCGAACATAGATTAGCAAACTAACAACTAGAGACCAGAGCTTATTTTTGGGGAGGGCTAATATAACGAGCATCCCCCAAAAATAAGCTAGAGGGATGTCTTATTTTCTAAGAAAATGGTGAACAAATTCTAGTGCATCTAGGTTATACAATTACACCAAGACCAGAAAAAAATTAAACAGTCTATTGAGAGGAGTGTAACCTTTTAGCATTTTTTAAATAACTGAAGAACAAGCTTGGATCGGCTGTTAAGTAGGGTACCGCCTTTTTAGGTTTATTCAAAGACTATTAAGTATGGTGCAGCAAAACATATTTTTATGAGACGCTTTCTCCAATTGTTCTCTGCACAATCTGTAATTATGCCAACTACCATTAGAGAACAGAAAAGAGAACATAACACGGTTGGTGTGGAGGAAACAGAAACCTTTATCCAAAAAGTGAAAAAAACAATACTGATAAATTAATGGGGCACAGATTTACTGTTTGGTCTTATGATGGACTCCACCAAAGTCCAAAATTAGGAGCAGGGGCCTTACAAAGTGTTAACTACATAACCATCCTTTAGAACAGAAAAAACATATATTTGCAAGAAATCTAATATGTTGATTCAATTCTATAATAAAAAATACCAAAGAGTTAGAATGGCTAGCTATAGTCACTCTCCCCCATCATATCTTTGGACATAGTAAAAGGCAAGTTTGAAACCAAACTTGACTTGTGCCAAGGTCATTTCTGAGCCAGTAACTGATGAAGGAAAAGATGATAATGATCAACCCAGTTCTGATTCTACTGGGCTTAGCAACATTCCCCAGCAGCATGAATCCTGCCAAGGTTAATGACGAAGAGCTGTAGGCTTCAACTAAGCTCAGCAGGAATTTGCAGCTACCCACTGAAATCAATGCTGTGAACAGTTATTGAGACATCTTGTATTTACCTAGTTTTGCTAGTTCTTGTTGTTTGATATCGAATATTCAGTCCCTATTGAATAGAATGTTCTGTTTCATTGATAGAACTTAATCAGTAAAGATAAGTTCACTTCACTGACCAGGTACTACCAGCCAGAACAGGGGTGGCCAGGAAGTAAATCTCCAACTATTTTCAGAAACGCAATTCCCATGATGCTTTGCCATCCGTATAGCTGGTGATGTAACCTGGGTTTGTATTTCAGCAGCTGGGAATCTACCCTTTTGCCACTCGTGATCTAGAATCTAGATTAGTTGGTCCCAACCTTTTTTGGAGCAAGGGACACATTACTAAAGAAAAACTCCAAGATAAATTTAAATTTTTTCCACTTTTCAACAAATGTAAAATGTCACATTTCCTCTAAGATTTATTAGAGAGATATACATTCTTCTAGCCAAACTGACTTGTTAGCTTTAATTAATTTCCAGGTGGGAATCCCAATGTAATTGGCATTTATAAAACATATTTAAAAAAAAAAAAAAAAACCCACATTCAAAGTCTGTAGTGGACCTGATATAAGTCGATGTGACTTGAGGCACACTGGTGCCACGGCGCACTGGTTGAATCTCACTGATCTATATTATTAATACGGACAATAAGTGAAGCTCATAATTGCAATTTAAAGCAGATATATTACTTTGCTTTAAATGGCCCTGTTGATTTTAACCAAACCATGACCACCAACCACTAAAAGGCTGATTATAGTGTTTTCTGTATAGAGTAATTTTTTTTGAATTTACAACTTATACAAATTAAGAGCTGTGTGAATATTATAAACCTCCTACAGATATTCAAAGGTTTTTAAAAATGCTTTACATGAATGACTAGTTTATTGTTTCCAGATCGATTCCTCTGGTGCACAATCTAAAAGATTTCAACAGGGAAATTGCATAGTATGAATATGTCAAAGTTGCAGACGAAGACAAAGGAATAACTATTCTGCTTACAGAAAATGTACAATAATACATACTAACTGTGTTTCTGTAAGGGGTACTGCAACTTAGCCATTTACAAAGAGGTACTCCAGGATAGAAATGGCCACAAATTTTTCTAAATGCATATAAGCCGAGGCACTGAAAAGGCAGAACCCCAGATGTTGTATAACTGAACGTACAACTCTCATGATGCTTTGCCAGCCACAAAGCATTGTGAATGTCATAGATCTACCCACAGAAATATATTTTAGGTTCCCCTGATATAGAGAATGGATTTGAAAATCAATCATGCGTGAATATCAATGGAAAAAAAAAAAAAATGAAATAAAAAATAACTATCTTTTAAATTCATTTAATTTAGTGCAGAGGTCCAGCTACCTTCAGACTATAAAAATCACTGAATCATCTCATGTAATCTTTAGTTTCCAAGAAAGAAAGCTGAGCATATTCCATAAACCTCTGTCCGTATGGGATATGTAGTTCAGCTTTAGGGCAGTTCTGTTCATTAAAAGACGTGAAAGAAACTGGCACTCTATGGTGCTCTATCAACTTGTCACATAGCTCTATTTGATTTGTTTGTTTTTATGAATGTTAGTTGTGTCCATAGCAGCATCTCTCTCATTGTATTTTGAGTGTATGTTATTACCTATTATATGCTCAAATATTGGGATTTTATTACTATAGTTTATTATTCTATTCTGCTAACTTTTCCATTCACTCCCACATTTTCTTGATAAGCACTTATTTGGATTAACACTCTGGTTTTTAAAGGCAGCATGTTTCAATGCATTGATTGGTAGGGTGTACATAAAGATATTTATGGGATTGTTGTTCCCCACTCAACTACCTATAACCAAAAGCATACACACACACACACACACACACACCAATTGGGGCAGCATTTTTAGAAAGATCACACTTAAGCATACATGCCTACACTTTAATACTGTGACAAAAACTGGAGGTTTTAAAGTAACACTCCAGCTTTATTAAAAAAACAAAACAAACGTTAATAACACTGGAATCTTGATTACAGTTACTGTTGGAATGTTGATTTAGATAACTGCCCCCTACGCCTCCGCTCCCCTAAACATGAAGACATTTCCCTCTAATCAAGCTTTCCTGCTGCAGTCCCGTACCACAGCTCCGTTACAGCACTAGTGATGATATTCTGGGGAATCCAATGCTTCACACTAAAAGGCACAGATATAGGCAGTGATTGCCACTCTGAAGCAGTCATGCTTCTCATAGAAAAGTACTTGTATCAATGCCCCTCTACGAGAAGCCCTCACTTCCTCCTTGAACTAGCACCCAATGATAGTGAGAAAGAGAACCCTGCTGGCTGTGTAGTTCACAGCTGGGAGGGCCCAACTCAGGACCTTAATATAAGAGCAGATATCTCTTGATATTGGCACTTTTATAAAGTAGAAAAGAAGGGACACGGTATAGAGTGTTCCTTTAACTAGTGCTGAACGGGCTCCTGAAAACAATGTTCTATTAGTTTTGTGAAATAAAGCCTCCGTTTTTAAGTTCTGGAACCATAGCAGCATAGGTGTATGTGCCCTTAAAGGGACACTATTGTCACAAGAACAACTACAGCTTATTGAATTTGTTCTGGTGAATAGAATCATTAACTTCAGGCTTTTTGCTGTAAACATTGCTTGTTTCAGAGAAAATGCAGTTTTTACATTACAGCCTAGTAATAACTGCACTGGCCAATAATCAGGTGGCTGTTAGAGATCCTTCCTGGGTCATGGCTGCCTAAAATGCATCCAAACATTCAGTGTCTCCTCCCTCTGCATGCAGACACTGAACTTTCCTCATAGAGATTCATTGATTTAATTCATCTCTATGAGAAGATGCTGATCAGCCAGGGCTGTGTTTGAATCATGCTGGTATTGGGGGGCTAGATGGTGGTTTTAACACTATAGGGCATACATGTTTGTGTTCCTGACCCTATAGTGATCCTATAAAATATGCATATGGATCCACATCTATAAATTTTAGTGTACTTTCCCTGTGGTGCGAACTCAAAAGAATTAAATATCCATATATCAGTAATTATTAACTGGTCGATTTGAAGCTTGTTTCAGCAGTAAAGTAACTGTCACTTTCAGATGTCTGCATATATTTGCAAAGACACCTGAAGGGACATCCCTACTTTGTATGCGGAGGCTGGAGTAAAACTAAAGGTAGATGTACCAATCTAAAGTTCTCCCTTGTGGGTCCTACCGGCACTTCTTTCGCGAGGAGCCAGTGTTACTCCTGTACTCTTACACACACGTGAGAGGAGTACCGAGATCTATAGAGGAAACTGCGGTATCATCTTTTGTAGGCCAATTCGCACAATGAGTGAGAAGATCCTCATCTTCTTCACAAAGTGGAAATACCACCTTTTGTCAAACCAGGACTTTGCCCATAAAACAAGGAAATTCCTACTTTACATTCTGATACCTTTTCATTGCTTCGGAATGTCAACACAATTCCACAGCAGTCAACGTGAGTATTTTATTAAGATTTTCAGATCTATAAAATACTCAAACAGTATAGGTACTCAAAAGTGACCGTGCCGCTTTAACTTTGCATGTTTAAAGAATTGATCTCAAAATACCACTGTAATATGTCTGTGAATCTGACAACTTGATGTAGTTAGTTGATCTCAAGTAAATCACTTTGTAACACATTATATTACAGAGATATTTACACTCTGAGAGTCCTGTTTGTTAGAGCAGACTGTTAGGGCAAACATATTTTCACCCTGCTAAATAGGCAGAGGACAATCCTGCAAAGTACACTACGTAACCCTAACATAGTCAGCATTTAAAGCTCACTTTTGACAATACATTGACATAAGAAGACAAACATGTTTTCCTAACACTATAGTGTTCCCCTACCTATGTAGGTTCCCACCCCCCCATGCAGTGGTTTAAAAGGTAAAATGTACTTATCTTACAACCCTTGGGGCTGCTGCTCCACCGCTTTGGCTGAGATCATCAAGACTGATGAGCTCAACCAATCCAATGCTTCTCCACAGGGAAGCATTAAGAGACTTGTGCGCATTGGCATCAGTAGTATAACCAACAGTTATGAGAAGAATGTTAACGTAACATTTAGTATAACCGCATAACTAATTCCCTTTAAACTGGCCGTGATAAGCTACACCGTGGTAACATGCATCCGGTAGGAAATATAAATTTCCAGCAACAATTTGTTGCTTTTTGCAATTAAAAAAATAAAATGTTGAAATTTTTTTGACAAATTTGACAATATTGTGAAGCTGAATAAACAAAATTTGCAATTCTTGCGTCCATTGTCCACATTTCCTGAATAAACCTCATTTTTAAACATACAAAAAATAAATAAACAAAGGCAAATAAATAAAAGTACAATAAATATATCCAGCTATAGATTTCATGACTTTATGGATTTCCCTTTTAAACTCTTTTTTACGTTCTGTACGTAAGCTGTGAATATTATTCATATTAGGGCTTATTCACTAAGCAATGAACAGTCATCAGGCAACAAACACATAGGATTAAATACATATGAAACGTTCACCTCAAGCTACAATACCCTCTATAGCGCTCAACATATAATGTATCATAGAGGTCAATTATAGATTAGTTATTTTAAGAGCTTCTTTGATTTTAATAACCTCGAATAGTTCTGTCCTGCTCCTGCCCATCTCTTTGGTCTTGTCTGGGTGCACTTTCTCAATCCTAAACCTTTTCCATGCCACCAACACATTGGCTTTATCCCTGTCAGAACGGAGTAACATTCATCTCACACTTATTGGAATAACTTCCTGTAGGAGGGTTCTCCTGCTCTACCAGTCACTCAATTGTCACAAAGACTTCTATGCAGACAACTGATTGACAGGATTTTTTTATTTTTATTTTATATGACAGGAGGTGAGGGGTTGGTCCATGTGTCCATGATGCCAATGTGCCTGCCCACAAAGTGGGGCATCATTCCAGGGCACATCTGCATCAGGATGACAGTGTTTCCAACAGGACGGATATTCATGGCTGCCCATCTGCCGGGCACTGTCGACGTGTTTGCATATGGGCTTAAATGTTGTGAAAATGATTAAAAGTGCAGCACGAGCAGGAATAATCGCGTGCTCACGCTATAATTTCTATCAGTACTCTCAAAACCAGTTTCAAGTGCCAATCTGTCAGGTGATCGGGAAGGCAAAAATCATGTCAGCTCTTCATTAGTTGACTGTTAATGGAGGTTGGAACACTCTGGGGGACAAAATGCAGAACAGTAACAAGATAATGCAATTCTGAATTTAAGCAGAACGAGCTGGTTTTCCAGCTGGGGGACTATGGTCTTCCTCTAACTTCACTAAGTTATGGAACAATATTGAAGTGAAATCTGATAAACAATTTCATATTCTCCAACTTACCTAAAATGACGAGAAAGTTACCAAAATAAGTAAAGCATGTTTACTATCTACCTTTCTGGTTAGAGCAGTTACAATATAAGGATCCAATAATTCAAAATCCTGCGGCAACTAAAGCAGCCATATTGTGTTTCTTTGAGATTTCAGCAGTTTTTTTTTTTTTTAAACTGAGAACATTCATTTTAATATAAACAAGGATTTTCTACTTGCGTTGGTTAAAGCCAAATCTTGCTACATAATTTGAATATTGCATGGATGTAAGTCAGCAAGTTATGAAAGACAGATATACATATATTTTAATATGAAATTAGGCCCAAACAGGTATATCAAAGCGGTATGTGTGGCGCCTTTGTGATTCTTCCGATATATATGGAATAGAAAACAAACACACAAAAAAAGAAATTTCAACATTCTGTCTCTTATTCATTCACACGATTCTCTTTAATTGGGTGGGCTGCCCTGGGTGACTGGATTACAATGCACAGATATACAGAATAGACTGCACTGGCCAACCTTCCATTCAGCTGCTCCACTTTAAACTGCCCTCAATTGTTTTACAAATAAAACACTTTTTATTGGACTTCTACAGCAGGCTGCTGCTTGATTCCTGCTTTTGGGGATTATACCACTTCAAGCTGTACTATAGGAGCCAATATAGGAGGGTCCTTAACATGTGAGTGCAATACTTTACTGATATGAATACTAAGCGTGATATACTACACTATATTATTTTCTCTGTTCTACACTATATGTCTGACAAGTATATCCACTACCATAAGGATGGCTTGCTGTATCACTATTACACTATATCATTAGGCGGAGATTATTCCGCCCAAACACACAAGTTGGAGATGAATTGAAGCTCAAGAAAAGTGTAAGTGTTCCTTTTGCCTACTATACTTCTTCCAAGAATATTATGATATACTACACTGTTATATATATATATATCCGAAGAATCCCAAAAGGTGCCACACATACCCCTTTGCTATACCTGACTTTACCGTTACCGGATAATAGAAACACCGGATTTGTGTGTTAGGCTGTCCCACTGAACTGCTCCAGTATCTACAAGCGCTGAATTACTTCTCTTTTTCCAACTTAGAAACCGGCTACTTTACCTTATTAGCTTATCTTCCTGAAAGCAGTCACAAGCAGTAGGAGAATGATAATTGGTTTCCTGTAGTTCAGTTCTTCTTTTTATCTAAACTCACTATGTAGATAACCCATATAGCAAGTTACACAGTATTATTTAAACACAGAACTGTCGGAATTCACTGTATTCAAATGCAAAATTTAGGTTAAAACAATCCCTAACTGAAAAAACAGCTGAATTAAAAATATTTTTATTCTTCAGCTATTTGGACTAGAATTAGCAAATTCAGAGTCAATTCCCAAATATTTATAGATTAGTGAAAAACGGTGTTGGAGAGAGGCGAGAAAAAGAAGCACGTGAATTTAAATTAGTTTTGTTTTTGCCATTCGGAAGAACAATTCATAAGGATAAATGGCCTCTCCAATCTGTCTAATGCAACATTCATTAGAATTAAAATAAAAAATTTGTTAGAAGTGAAATTATACAGCAACTATTCTACTGGATTGTTATTAAGTTGCTACAGGTGCAAGGGAGCATTCTCATATTGTTTAAGTGATGTTTAAGTGAATATTCTCATATTGCACAGAGTTAAACAGCACTTGTCAATGTGGATATACAGGTGATACTTGAAAAATTAGAATATCGTGCAAAAGTTCATTTATTTCAGAAATGCACGTAAAAGGGGAAACTAATATATGAGATAGACGCATTACATGCAAAGCAAGATAGTTCAAGCCGTGATTTGTCATAAGTGCGATGATTATGGTGTACAGCTCGTGAAAACCCCAAATCCACAATCTCAGTAAATTAGAATATTGTGAAAAGGTGCAATATTCTAGGCTCACAGTGTCCCATTCTAATCAGCTAAGTAAGCCATAAAACTTGCAAAGGGTTTCTGAGCCTTTAAATAGTCTCACAGTCTGGTTCAGTAGGAATCACAATCATGGGGAAGACTGCTGACCTGACAGTTGTGCAGAAAACCTTAATTGACACCCTCCATAAGGAGGGAAAGCCTCAAAAGGTAATTGCGAAGGAAGTTGGATGTTCCCAAAGTGCTGTATCAAAGCACATTAATAGAAAGTTATGTGGAAGGGAAAAGTGTGGAAGAAAAAGGTGCACAAGCAGCAGGGATGACTGCAGCCTGGAGAGGATTGTCAGGAAAAGGCCATTCAAAAGTGTTGAGGACTTTCACAAGGAGAGGACTGAGGCTGGAGTCAGTGCATCAAGAGCCACCACACACACACGGATCCTGGACATGGGCTTCAGCTGTCGTATTCCTCTTGTCAAGCCGCTCCTGAACAACAAACAACATCAGAAGCGTCTTACCTGGGCTAAAGAAAAACAGACCTGGTCTGTTGCTCAGTGGTCCAAAGTCCTCTTTTCTGATGAGAGCAACTTTTGCATCTCATTTGGAAACCAAGGACCCAGAGTCTGGAGGAAGAATGGAGAGGCACACACTGTCCAGTGTGAAGTTTCCACAGTCTGTGTTGATTTGGGGAGCCATGTCATCTGCTGGTGTTGGTCCACTGTGCTTCATTAACTCCAGGGTCAACACAGCCATCTACCAGGAGATTTTGGAGCACTTCATGCTTCCTTCCGCAGACGAGCTTTATGGGGATGCTGACTTCATTTTCCAGCAGGACTTGGCACCTGCCCACACTGCCAAAAGCACCAAAGCCTGGTTCAATGACCGTGGGATTACTGTGCTTGATTGGCCAGCAAACTCGCCTGACCTAAACCCCATAGAGAATCTATGGGGCATTGCCAAGAGAAAGATGAGAGACATGAGACGAAACAATGCAGAAGAGATGAAGGCCACTATTGAAGTATCCTGGTCTTCCATAACACCTCAGCAGTGCCACAGGCTGATAGCTTCCATGCCACGCCCCATTGAGGCAGTAATTGCTGCAAAAGGGGCCCAAACCAAGTACTGAGTCCATTTGCATGCTTATACTTTTCAGAGGTCTGATATTGTTCTATGTACACTCCTTGTTTTATTGACTGCATGTAATATTCTAATTTACTGAGATTGTGGATTTTGGGTTTTCATGAGCTATAAGCCATAATCATCGCACTTATGACAAATCACAGCTTAACTATCTTGCTTTGCATGTAATGCGTCTATCTCATATATTAGTTGAATGAACTTTTGCACGATATTCTAGTTTTTCGAGTATCACCTATACACCCCCTGTGTTAACTGACATCAATGTGAACCTGTACTAATTTGCAATGTACGTCAGGCATCCAATTTATGCGGGTACCAACCACTCGTGGCCCTGACCTCATTCCCATATAAAATCAAAATAAAATAGAAGAGTCATGACTGCTTGAAGTGTGACATAGCTTTCCATGTGCAGATCCAAATGACAAGCACAGTTTCAGTGCCAGTCAATCATAATTAAGGCCTAGCACATAAATTCTGTTTGTCGTTTGAAGGGTTCCATAAAGGGTACACCTAACTTCATGCAGTCATGCCTCCTCCATTTTATTCTTTGTAAATCAATGGAAACATTGTCAGGGTGCTCAATACATTAAGTCAGAATGATTTTTAAATTCAATTGTTTCTAAAAAAGTTTTTTATATATTCTTGTACAACACAATGACAAACTTAAAATTAGCTTTAAGTTATGCTTTTATTTCTCTATAATTGTCAGTGGTTTTCGTTTTTTGTTTTTTTTTATTTACATGACACGCCTGTCTGTTGAGGCACAGCCAAGGCATGCCATGCAAATTAAAATGTAAACCTTGCTATCATGCGTGCTTATAGTATGAATTAGGGAATGCCCAAGCATGCAAGTATTCCTTGGGCATTTCTGAACATAGGACACCCTGAACACTGAAGTGACATAGACGTATATATTTTTATTTTACTTACCTCCACAGCACTACTCACCTAGTAAATGCTTCAATATGGTTTACGAGAGTACATTTCAATAAATACAAATAAGGCGCAACCTAGTAATACCCACATTTATAACTTCTGCCTATTACAAATAAAGGAAAACAGATAAAAGTGACAAGTAAACAAAGAAAGTCAGCAGTGACCCTTTTCACGTTTGAAAAATGGTGGAAAAGACTACTATGCAAAATGATATACCTGCTTTAGTTGCCATTGTAGAAATAGCAGAATTTTATGTTTAAGACTTTTCCATGCCTTACAACTAGAAAATTTTCCTTAATTAAACAGGAAAAATATAACCAAAACCCAGCATAAATTAAGTTGGGTTTTTTTCTGCATGCAAGACAAACACAATGTAATATTGAGAGTGGTGATTTTCAAGTCACAAACTTTTAAAAAAAAATAAAAAATAACAGAGAATTGACTAGACTAGACAAACCAAACTGCATATCTGTAGACTACCCCTAAATGTCTAACATCCCTGCAAGAGAACGTTCAAAATATGTTATTTATAAGTGAAACTTACTGAAAATGAAAGTCTTCTTTGAAATGCCCAGTAATATACTGGTTCCTTAGGCTACAGATACTGGTTTGAACAAAAGGACCCCCAATCTTGGGCTCTGTTCTTAACGGAAGGAACATAGTGGAAGCACTAGATCTAACCTGGAGGAGGAATAATGGGCCACTTGCAAAGGGTGGCTGTCATGGAGGTGGGAGAGGCACAAACGTGAAGGACCAACCAACAAATATTCAAAGTATTAATCGATTTCCGTTGAGAAAGACCAACATGTCTACATGTTCTGCAGTCAGAGCCGACCGCTTTCTGTAAACTGCCACACCAGCATCTGTAAAGAGCCAACTTGTGGGCACAGATGTTGCAGGAATGGCCAAGAGTTTGCGGGCCGCCCGAGCCAAAAGTGGATATTGGGTATAATGCATTTTCCACCACTGCAACGGATCTTGACATAAGGAAGAAGCTTCACTGGTCTGGAAGCTGCTAATTTCCTGTTCTGCTTGTTGGTTAACTGTGCTTGCGGAGGAATTTCTTACACTGCACAAGTCTCCCAGAAGAAATTCAATTCCAGAATCCTGCTTTACTTTCTTTGGGGGTGGCCTTGGGTTCTGAGGCTCTGGCGGACTACAAACAGGCTCTGTGTGTTGAATCTTAGCCAAATTTGAAGCTTCAATCTTAAGTAAATGAAGAGTCTCCACACGATCCGGTTGGCTGAGAAAGTCAAGGCCACGAAAACGTGGATCCAAGGCACATGCCAAGTTAAGAACCTGATTGACTTCACAGTCTGAGAACTTAAAGCTCAAATCCTCATGAATGGCCTTTTTAATTATCTTGGAAAACTCTGAGTCCCATTCATTAGGTGCCAAATGTTTATAGAGCAAGCTAGTTATCACCGGTTTCACCAGTGATAACCCAGCAAATTGATCTTTGGTGAAAGTTGAGGTAGCTATAGCTAAAGGTTTGAGGATATCTACAACATCCTGAAGAACAGACCAATCATCATGCTGAAGAATAATGTTTTCTTCTTTCATTGTTTCAACAATGTCCTTAAAAACTTTTGAGTGGTCTACTATGCTCTGTAGTAAAGTATAGACACTATACCACTTGGTTCCATCACGTAGGAACATTTTTAGATGAACTTTCAAAATTGGCCCATGCATAGTCAGTTCTTCAGTTTGTGCAGACGAAGAGCAAATGGTGGCTATTAGTCTTCGAAATCTATCTAGCATGCTATGTATTGTAGGATACTTCAGTACTGCTTCAATGCAATTTCTCAAAACCTGACCAACACACGGCAGAGATTTCCATCCCAATCTGGAGGCTGCCAATTTAACAGAGGGGCTATCAAGTCCAACTACGTAGAAGGTGTTTTCACGAATTCCCCACTCTTCAGCAATGCCAAGAAGTACCAACTTCAGATTGTCCGCGGAGAGATCATCAGAAACAACTCTGCTGGATAGCACCATATTTTTCGATTCAAAACCTTCATCAACATAATGGATAGTGAGTGTGAGGTAGGACAAAGAACCACTATGTTTCCATAGGTCAAAGCTTACAGAGCATTCATGTAGACCTTTTACCAATTCTACTACTTTTAGCTTGGCTTGAATGTGCATTTCCTGTAGGATTGTATGAGCCAAAAAAGATGCTGCAGGTAATTTATAATTGGGGTCCAGAATGGACAGCATTTGAGAAAAACCTTCTCCTTCAATGATTTCAACTGGCATTAGGTCCCGGACAATAAAGTCTGCTACGGCCTTGGTTGTCCTCCCAACAGTGGGAGTGACTATTGCTCTGGAAGTCAATTCGCGAGGAGAGACTGGTTCTAGGTTTTTCTGTGGGTCAACCACAGCACCTTGGGTTCCCACTAATTCATTGTACTCCCGTCTGTGCTTGTATATTAGGTGCTGTCTTAGGTTTGTGGTGTTGCCGCTGTATGAGAGGCGCACACCACACAACTTGCAAATAATTTTGGTCTTGTCAATGATACGACCATATGCATCCCCCTGGAAGCCAAAAAAAGTCCAGTAGCGGCTCTGAGCTCGGCCAAGGCTCACCAGATTCTGTGTTCCTTCCAGTAGCTGGAAACCAGATGAAGGATGTCCTATATTATTCAGAGGATAATTTGGTTTGTGGGATTGTATCAATGGAGTAACCATATCATTGCAGAGATACTGGCTTCGGGGTGATATGTGATTTGACATGGAATCTATTGTCTTCAGGTGTAAGTCTTGGAACAGTTTCATTAGGAGTTCCTTCTCTCCAAATTCATATTTAAAGTGCTCACCTAAGGAAAACAATGCATTCATGGAACGTTAAATATACAAACACATGTAATGTCAGTGACACATACATTGTCAGGCATCAGTTTCCTTGTTAACGGCTCTTTTGTTACATTAAAGCAGGGTTCTCCAAACACTGGCCCTGCAGATGTTGATGAACTACAAGTCCCATGATTCACTAGCGATCTATTTAATTCAAAGAATCACGAGAGTGGTAGTTCAGCAACATCTGGAGGGCCAGAGAACCCTGCATTAAAAGGAACATATCAAGCACCATAACCACTATAGGGCATAATGGCTATGGTGCCAGGAGTGTCCTGGCACCCCTCCATTGTAAGTAGTCAAAAGGGTTTAAAGAAGTATTTAACTTTTTACCAGAGGTCAACCAAGCGCCGCTCTCCAACTATATCTTTCCATTCTGAGAGCCATAAGCTCCTACTAGGAGTTCCCATAAGCTCATCTTAACTAAGCCCTGCATCCATTGGCTGAGCGCTCAAGCTTCTGGCTCCAAAAGGGACTCAGAGTGGTACCCAGTGGACTCCAGATAATAAATCAAACTGTTGCCAAATAGTCTGACTAATTACACTTGGGAGGTGCCACGGCACTCCTAACACTAGAACCACTACAACACACTTTTTCTTTTTCATTTTAAAACACAAGAGTTGCCCAAAAACATGTTCAGAACTTCCAACCAAAGCTTAGCTAAAGTGCGAAAAAACAAAACTTTCTTTATTTCCTCTGTCCAGATAATTTAACACTAGTCAGACTTGGTACTTTCAATTGGCTGAGCAGGGTGCTGTAAAAGTCATCGCAACCAATGGAAATCCCACGTAGAAATTATGATTTTACCCATAATACACATTGTGTAACATTCAAATGGTGCTTCTCCCAAACACTATTTTAACATATATTCCATTTAATACTCCTGGGGTTATTCACTACAGCATGAATTGCCATGAAGACAACATTTTAGGCTAAAAAATACCAGATTTGAAATATTTTTTTAGTTCTGCTATTTTGGCCTAAAATTTGAAATTGACTTTGAATTCTCTTGAATTCCTGGCAATTCACCCTGTGAGGAGTTTATCTACCATACCATTAACTGTGGAGAATTGAAAGGAAATAAAAGATTTAAAGGGACAAAAAAAACTGAAAAATAAATTTCTAACTAAGCTATATTTCCCTGCTTATGGCTTAAAATATTTTATTTGTTAGTATTGTGCAATTTCATTATCGTGTTCATTCTAGTATTCTCTTTATCTCTGATTACTCAAGCAACAAACTCTCCACGAAAACTGAATTGAAAATGCCTGGCCAAAACATCCAAGCGGAGACTATAGCTGCATTGGAGAATTTTTGCAGGTTAGTTCTTTTTCCTATATATTATTTGGATATAAACGCTGTATGCTGCTGTGCTGATAAGAATTGGGGGGGTTTGCACGCAACGTATGGTATGCATCTATAGAGAGCGAGAGATCTGATAGAAAGGACAGGGTTGAAGTGGTACTCTAAACCCCAAAACAACTTTAGCCAATGAGAGTGGTTTTAGTGTACAGATTATGTCCCTCCAGTATCTCAGTGCTCAATTATCTGCCATTTAGGAGTTAAAGCGGTGCAATCACCGTCTGGGGATCAGCCGAATTCACAAAAACCTCCGACATCGCCACTGGGGAGGCAGATAAAGGTGAGATTTATTTATCTGAACCTGTCCTTCAGGGGTGTGGCCATCTTGTTCTGGCGGGTACTCTTAAGAGCCAGGGGCCGACATCACTGCTGTACTCTTGCGCATGCAGCCGTCAATAGCTACACCCAGAGTCTATGAAAGTCAGGTGGAGGAAATATACAGAGACAAAGTAGTC